GCGGGAAAATATCAAGGGGAGCATGAAGTTATTTAAGGTGGAAACCGCGTTCAGAGGCGTAACCACGAGAAAAAAGTTGAGGGGGCCGTATGGTGGGCTGCCTACCTACCAGGCGGACTCGAAGACCGTGATATAGATAAAAAAATTAGGGTATCTTGAATATAAAAGGAGGGAATGAAGTGATAAAAACACGCTCAGGGCGAGGCGCGGCCAGGCAGGCACCAGGCAGCCTTTCGAACCGTCTGCTACAGCTGTCTATCGACCGACCGACAGTCGGCATCGGCGCGAACTGATCAATTTTGTTCTGTTTAGTCGGTCTTAAAGTATGGGGGGGCGCCCCCTCCCCCAACTCGAAAGTCGAAAGTTTAGGGGCCGCGGACCCCCCCCGTGGTTACGCCACTGACCGCGTTAAAATACCGCGTTTTTGCAGATTCAAGGTACGGCGGCTTGAGCTCAGCGCCTGCGGGACTCGGGGTAGGCCACACTGCTGTACACGCATGCATTGGGGGATGCACTGTTGGTTGCCTACTTACAGGGGTTTTGTGACTCATATTGCCTACCTTCCAAGCGGCTCACTAGGGACGATGGGGGGGGGGCGACCCCCCCCCCCTCAATCCGCGCCTGGCGCGAGGAGCACCACAGCTTGCCTCAAGAGGCTCAAGTGGGGGTCGCGGCGGCTGGCCCACCATGGCCCGGCGCGAAGCAAGGGATGTAAGGGCGCTATGTTTGTAACACAACCTGTCTAAAAAGTTATGTGGCGTGTGCTATTCGAAACACCCTACTTGGCGCGGACGAGAGTAGTTTTACACACGCCACCAGCCACCAGGGAAAACAGCTAGGTGGTAGTAAATAACTGGGTACTTTTCCCGATACCTTTCCTTACCTAGGCACTCACATTGGTAATGTACCTTACCGCCACTAATCACACCGCTGTACACGAATGCACTACAGGCAGGTTTTTGCCTACCTGGCAGGCGCTATGGGACCTTGCATGCGCGGAGTAAGAGAAAGTTATCTGCGTGCGGTATTCGAACCGTCCTACTTGTGGCGGGCGCATACAACTATTTCGAAACACGCCACTGCCCCCTCTAAACCCTGAAGT